CGGAGGCCGCGCGAATGTCTAAGAATACAATGACCGTTGGTCTTTGATAAGCATGGCAGTGCTCTAGCAGCTGTCGGAGGGTGAAAATTTGATCGATTCATCCACGACCGGCGCGAAGCCCAACCTGCTTCTCGCTGATCTGCTCCTCACGCATAGTGTACAATCGGCGGAGAATGACGAACTCTTTGACGCTATCGAGATTAAACTCATACCCCTATGATTGGCGCAGTCATTGCGCGGGCCCTTTTCGAACATGGGGATGACAATCGACTCCCCCACGAGGAGGGGACCTGCTCACTGTTCCAAGCGTTAGAGAACAGAACTTGTAGTTCTTCAACAAGCTTTATTCCACCATCTTTAAATAGAGCTGGGAGAAGGCCATCGGATCCCGGTGCTCTGTGACGTCCCAAGGCTTGGATTTCCTTACGGATTTCCGCCTCAGAAGGTGGGTCTGTTGAGACAGACCGTGGGACGTGTGCCGGAATAGCTGAGTGGGGAGCTGACGTTGGCGGCCAGCTAAGCTGTGCCTTGAAGTGCTCCACTCAGCGTTCAGGACGTCGCTGTTGATTGTGAGTGGACGAACCGTCAGCTTCATAGATCGGATGAGATGGAACAGCTTACGGGGGTTTCCTATGGCGGCAGCACGTTCCATCTCCGACGCGCGTTGAGTCCACCAGATCTCTCGGTCTCTGCGTAAGCTTGCGTTGAGGTTACGAGTCGTATTTCGTTATGCTCGCTGCCTGTTAAAATTGATCGGCGTGCATCAAGAAGGCGCAGATATTCCGCAGAAATCCAGGTGTCGCGACACGGCTAAGCCAGCAGAATTCAGAGCATTCTTGATAAGCGACCAGTGTTGGTTAACGTCACCGGGTGGGGTTGGCTCTAGCTTTTCAGCTAGCGCGTTCTGAAAGACAGGCGTGCTTGTTGAGACAACTTATCACAGTCTAACCGTCGTTGTGTCGTACGTTTGGAACGCCCACCGAAGCACAGGGACAGGTTGGCGCAAACTAATGCGTGGTCGAATTCGAGGGGAGGGCTCCAGTACGACCGGCAGTCTTGTGTACAACCCCGCCACTTGTCGTCGATCTGCGTCCGTCTCTAACTCGAGGAGGGCGGACGCCAGTGGCCAGTTAACCCGTAACTTGCATGGAAGTCATGACTTGGTGGGCGGCCTTCGATTGGAGTTAGCAGATAGTCAACTGTTTATCCCTTCGTTGCTGTCGGATCAACAATTAATTGACGGACTATCACTGAAGACGACACGCGAACAAATATGAATTGACCATTCAGTTCAGTCATGGTATGTGCTGGTTGGCACATTGGTAACGCACACGCCTTCCATATGATGGTTCCGGAGTTCAAATCCCGGACAATGGGACAGTGGATAAGTACAACGAATGAGCTCTAATAATAGTGAAACTCTGGTCCATAGTGCTTCCGGTTGTATGGTCGATTGGAAGAACTGAGGAATGTGCGTGAAGGTGAAGTCTGAAGGGTGATCAGTCCTAATCAATTAGTCAATAGCAATCATAGCACAACACCACTCACAAGTAATTGTGAGCTAAATGCGTATTATTGTTCTTTTCGATGAAAAGAAAGTAAAATCGAGAAAGAAAGAAAAAAATACATCTTATTTCACCTCGTTTGCATCAAATCACCACACCGATGTTGATTTACATCAGGTTCCTTAATTTATCGGCTGCCCCATTTGTTCACACAATAAATCACTTCCGGTCATTTTACAGGTCTGGAATCAGGAATATCCTCATAAGCTTCGGTACTGTTATGGTTCAGGATTCGGCAATGCTCCGAATTCCAAACAGTTTTCACCCCCCTAGTCCATTTCTCACCGTACACATTCCCAAATACATTTTACCAGCGTATAGTGTTGGCTACTGTCGACGTACACAGCTCGTCTAATGTACGGGCATTTGAAAAACTGGACGGAGAATATCCTCCTGCGCGTATAGTCGATCTGTATAATACTTGGATCAGTAAATGGATTTTATCGATGGAATGAGAACACTCTTTGTCTCCATATTTATCGTCCAATTTGGGAGTCATGAAACACCTAAGACGTGATCTCGATCCTTTTTCATTGCAGTTTCTCGAAGGTGGGCACATCGCACAACTGGCCTATTACCTCGAGGCTCTGAACGAGGCTCAGTTGGCCACCAGTGATCATCTCATACTTTTGCTCAACTGTTATTCACGACTTCAGGACAAGGCGAAAATCAATCGGTTCGTCGAGGTAAATCAGACGTTCTATTCCGTTACTCTCCTTATCTGTTACCAGTCTTTTCTCCAATCGTTTAGCTCTCAACCAAACTCGTTTCGAATCTCCGGGACACATTCTTTGTTACTCGTTTTTCCTTCGGAATATTTATTGATTTGCTGGGCGAGAGAAATGCACATTGACTTGACGTGAACACCTGGGAAAGTTGTCTGGCAATCATGAGTACTTTGTGTAGACAAGTAAACGGTACGGTTAACAATTCCTGGACGAAAAGTTTGTCATCCGATCTTCATAGACTCAGTCAATGTAGTTGCTCCAACACCTGTCAGTTTAATTTCGTCGTAACCGAGATTGAATTAACGAGGTTTGTTTGGTTTACGGTTTTTTTACACCCCTGCAATGTGGGTACTTCACGATCCACTACGGGAACAGCTGCGCTGCCTGGAATGGTGATCTAACTTGTTGATTTTTCCCGTCACCGCGTATCATCCGTATGTATAGATGTATTTTTGCGTGTGTGATGGGGTGGGGAGACACCATTCCGATTCCTCCTGCGAATGCACACAAGAGCGTCCGTGGTTATATGTCAACCCAGCTCAACCGTACCGTAATTGGATGCTCAGAAAATCATGGGTTAATTGCCCAAGTGTTTATGAGGACATAGTTTCTCATGGTCTCCGAGGTCGAATGCGTAGACAATTTGGATGTATTAGCACTGCAGCACTGCAGTCGGTTGGATCTGTCGGATGATAACTCTAAAGGTCACAGATAAAGATTCTCTCACGTTCTGCTTCATCTCCTTTTTCATCCAGACATTGATTGTTGCTCTATAGTCTCCGTCAAACAATACCCTCAGTGATTGAGGAATGTAGGCTGTATTGTTTTCATTATTATTATATTATATATTTGTGTGATTCCGGACTGTGTCAGACAAATCACGGTTCACTTATCTATATAACAAGAGAAAAAGATTCATGATTTGCAGTAGGGCAGAATACCGCCAGGTTTCCTGGGCCGTATTGTGTTTTATGAGTTCGAACCCCGGTATCTTTGTCCTACTTTCTCATCCGCTGTCTAATGGTCTTCAGTTGGCTGCATCCCTGATCCTTGATTGAACTGGGCGATCCTCCGTGAACCCCAAAGGTTTAGTGAGATACAAACGCTTAAATTTAACTATCATGAACTCGGTTGTCAGGCCTTAAAATAGCACTCCTGACTCGGAACCTGCCATATTCCGTTCCTTTAGTCCACATCGGTCACCCAAATCTCGGTTGTAATTCGACAGATGTGCTTGTTTGTATACGACACTAGCCACATCCCGTTAATCGCTTGACGGGGGTGGGCGGTGGGGGGCTAAACCATATGCGGATAACGTTCTGTGGAGCACGAGGAGTAGCAACTTCATGCGAAACACACACCGACAGATAACGATACTAAAACTTCCGTTTCAGTTCGAGCCCATTACCACAAAGCCTCCCTACTACCTTGTATATCTTCATTGGCATTGCGATCCTGAGGTCAGCAGTCGTATCGAACTACCACCACACTTTATGAGGCTGGTTCATCCTTTCAGAGGAGATTACCGAAGTGAGTTAGTCGGGACAGGAAAGAGGCAGGATGAAAATTAAAGAGCAATACGACGGTTCGGTAAAAAATCACATTTGGTGGATAGATGTGTTTCTTCAGCAGTTTTAAGTATTGCACAATCGTTTAACCCTTAAAGCAATTTCATTCACAGTTTACAGGCACCCAAATTTAGCCGTTAACGAGAATCATTAACTGATGAGGAAATTTGGATAGTGAGACGTGATATGTTGAACGAAGACGTAAACTTCGCGGCGCAGCTCTCGTGTTTTACTCACTAATCGTCATTAGTCCGCCTAACTACAATGGAGAGAGAACTGTCATTCTGAAGTCGTTGTTTGCGTTGCTCGGCTAATCTCTGTACTATGACCGCAGTGTATGCATTTCTGAACAGAACTCCCTGGCCGAATATGTTCGATGTTGTGGTCCTTGCCGCTCTTCAGTTGAGTGCATTTTCAGCCAAGTCATTCTCGTATACTACCCCGCAATTATTGTGTAGGTTGGAACTGCTTATTGATGCAATATTTGTTCAAAACTGACCATGTGACTCCTCTGCGCCTTTCAAAATGGTTCGTTTGACATGCTTTAAAAAACTTCAAATCTACCAAACAACCATTTACACAATTCCGCACATTCCAGAGTTTTCTGACCCGTGTTCATTACCACGCGCCGCACTATTTGATCTCCCCCCCTCTATCTGTCGCATTCTAGAACGAGATCAACCCGAATTTGAACGTCTCCACCGCAATCCACGTACTCCGGCAATCCAACTATCCGNAAGCCGCGCTGAAGCTGGCTCAAGCCACAGGACAATGTTCCTCTCAAGTGGCCATCTTGGTCGAGGATCTGGAAGATGGTTTGGGTGCCCTCAAATCTGTTGAATCATTCCCGTTTGATGAGGTATTTCATGCACTTCCGTCTGATCACGGACGTGCTCTTTTCTGTTTGGTCTACCAGTCTGTATGTGTTCAACTGTCCGAGATTGGTGAAAGGTCGATATTCTACGCGTTCTTGCTAATGGGTAGAACAGACGGAAAGTTTAGTTGAAAAAAAAACAAAGAAACAGGTACCAAGCTGTTCGTATCGTGCTAACTGCAGGTTTTGTATCCATGGGGTTCAGTGCTCGTAGATAATAGTATGTTTTCCAACTGAAAGAAAACTATTGAAATTTTCTTCTACCTTGAAGTGAATACTTTTATCGAATAGCGATACCCACACTCGTCCATCAGTAGTAATGTCTTCATAGAGTGTTATACAGTGTCACAGGCCGATCGGAGACCACGATTCTTTGGGTCTTCGCGTACGTTGTCCAGACAAATTTCTAGTTATCCACCAAGACACCAGGGGAAGTAAAAACAGTCCGGATGTTGAATCGGTTTTCGTCAAATCATGATGTGGAGTGGGCGCATAGCGCAGTAAGCAATGAGGACCTCTTCTTCATACCACCGTGTTTAACCGTATACTATTCAAGCAGCGATTTCTGACAGCTTCATTGACGAATCGATCTCTCCATCGGATTCTCATAATGGAATGGGAAGGGGAAAAGTTGCAATATCACGTGAGCTGATCATGCTCACCACATGTTTTTACGGTCAAGTTGATTGGTTAGTGAACTCGCAAGTGCAAGCGAAACCGTATGTGATAGAAATGTTTGTGCGCGAACTGGGAACAAAGAAGGATGATTTCTGT